TCAGTTTGTGACTTATTCTTTGCAAAATTCACACATGGCATTTTTGAACAGAAAACAGCATTTTCTGCACAGAAGACAATATTTGGTGGTTTCCTATGCAAAATAATCATGTGAAGATTGTGTGCAGAATAAGTTCCAAATTGCAAAGATTCTCATCAATCCAGATTTCATTATAGTTTTTTTTTTTACTCTTGAGAAGCATATCTTCCAACTATTTATTAATATTTTTGAATATTCTTTCCATCCCTATACTAGGAATGAGCAGTGTAACCTATGGGTCACAAGCCATCACCCAGGCCTTTTATATGCTTCCTAGAGCTCCTCATACATTTTATTGTTTTAAAAAAATGACTTTTGCCAGAAGATCAGTTGGTAAACTCCTAAATGCACTACAGTCAATGGGCAAAGGAAATAAATGCATTATATTCAGTGGAGTAGTGAGAATCATAGTTTATTTACTTTCTTTTAGTTCAAAAATCAGCAGTCAATCTCATACTCAATAGCATACTAACTCGATTTTAGTACATTCATTTGTATGTAAATATAAATATAATAATAATTAATCAAGCATGGGTGGAGATATTGTATATCTTATTAATGAGCGAGGGATTTTAATGAATGCAATAATATTTAATCCACAATTCCAAAAATTTCTAATCTACACTTAGGGGATGTGGTGGCTCAAGTGATTAAGACACTGACTCTGTTGATTGCAAGATCAGCAGGTTGGCAGTTCAAGGCCCAGGTGCTGTGTGATGGGATGAGCTCCCATAACTAGCCCCAGATTCTGCCAACCTAGCAGTTTGAAAGCATGCAAATGCACATAGATAAACAGGTACCACTTCTCAATGGGAAGGTAAAAGCATTCTGTGCAGTCATGCTGACCACATGATCACAGAGTAGTCTCTGATGATGCTGGCTCTTTGGCTTAGTAACAGAGATGATCACCGCCCCCTAGAGTCAGATACAACTTGACACATTTGTCAATGTGTGATAACTTTACCTTTACTACATATATTAGCTAAAGTTTATGCATTTTTACAACTTTTTAAGAAACCAAAACAAATACAGCAGTCTAGCACTTGGCCAACCATACAAGTAAACCCCAACCCTGTAGAAATTGCTCATCCCTGCTATACAAAGTACATTAGTTAATTAAGAGCTAGATCAGTTTGTAATTAAGACTGAGATGCTGCAAATGTTGCTTCTATCTCTTCTTTTTGTGTGTGTTGTGTGTAAAATGCTTCATCCCTTGTTTTGAGACAATTTTTAAAGCATTTTCCCAAGTGAACCCAAGTTTCCCTACTGTCAGCATTTCTACTACTCAATCTTATGCTCACCCCATTCTAGCAATCACAACAGGCCTGACAATGAAGCAGGACAAGCCTTACCATTAAGCAGAGGGAGTGGGATTTTCACCACCACAGTTGCACTCCTTTCTCTCCCTTGCCTTCAGCTGGCTGAAGGCAAGGGGCAAAGTGGGAGGAGGAGAGAGAGACTGAAACATTTAATAAGCAGCTAAAAATGAGATGACAGGGGATTAATGGGGACTCTCTGCCAAATTGGGACAATTGTAGTGTATGGTATTACTATGCTTCTTGATTTGGGTGTGAGAGAGAAGCATTTGCCATTCCCCTTCTGGCAGTAAAACGTTTTGCGTTGGTTCTGCAATGGAATCAATAGTTCTATAGTTCTTCCTCTACAGATGTCCATCTCATTCTGCCTATAGCTTCCAGCCTAAAAGGCCTGCCTGGGGGTGGAGTTGGGGTGGGGCGACTGCACGCCAGCTGCCCCAACTCTGCCCCAACACCGTACACCCAACCACACAGCATGTGGCATCATGGTGCCTTGTTGGTGCAGCGTGCACACAAGCTGCACCAAAGGGGTGCAAAAGAACTGCTGCAGCTTTTTGCCACCCCCAAAAAGAGTGACATTTGCCCACTCATTGAGGAGCAGCAAAAAACCAGATTGGGGCCACAGTGTGTGGTTGCCATGGCCCCAATCTGGTGCTCCCAGGCGTGGAACAGAACCACCTGTTAGGGACCATCTGCATCGGCCCTTACTTCACTGTTATATAATTTAATCTTAAATTTAAACTTAAGACTTCTTAAACTCTATCCTGAAAAATTAATTGCTCTTGCATGGCAATTGCTCCTCAGCAAGCTATTACATGTTCCACAGGTAGCACTGTGCTGGGAGGAAGGCATTATCTCCCCAACTAAGAATTTTGGAGCCCAGTAAATTTTTCCTTCATTTCCTATCTATCTATCATTGCTATCATTTGCAGAAAGTGATACAGTGAAAGTTATTCAGACCAAGAATGCATACATACTATGTTTGAATTCCTTTGGTATCTTTAGCTGCTCCTTTCCTTTCTATGCCTAAATTGTATTTCTAAATGCTCAACTAATGGGGGTTGCAGACTGCCAGAAATAGTGCAAATTGAGTCCACTTTTAGAGTTAGGGTTAGTGCTAGGGAATCATGGGAATTGTTTTTTTCCTGAGACATTGAGCCTTCTCTGTCAGAGAGCTCTGGTGCCACAATAAATTACAGTTCCCATGATTCCCTAGCACTAACCCTAACCCTAAAAGTGGACTCAATTTGCACTATTTCTGGCAGTCTTCAACCTCCCTGAAATTCCAAGTGAGTGTAATGCAAGAAACCTAGAGAGTGAAGGAATATTTCATTGTGGGGGCAGATTCTTATTGGGGGCAATGCCTCCCCCCCCCCAACAATAGCTACAGTCCTTTCTCTCTTCTGCCTTCAGCTGGCTATTCATAATTATATGACACATAAGTATGAGCTGCAAATAGGCCTGCCTTATAAAAATCAGAGCTTCTCTCTCTCTCTCTCTCTCTCTCTCTCTGTGCTACTTTGTGGAACACCTACAAGACTTTAAAGGACACAGAAATAAAATAGATGGTCTTCATTCTATTGGCCATGATCTGCAGTAGCTAAGCTGAGGGAACTCTTGCCAAAATGGAATTCATATGTTCCAAATTCTCTGACCGTGCAATCCTATCCTGCTCTACTCAGAAGTAAATCCAAGTGAATTAAATAAACCTTACTCTCAAGGTAAATGAGAACAGGACTGGAGTCTGCAACAATTCTTTTTAATGTGCAGATGATGGATATTCAAATAAATGCTTGCCCCCAAATCAATTACCAAGTCATCAGATTAATAATGAAATGACCCTGATTACAACAAATTCTAAATGTCTGGACTCTCCATCTCTGGCCTAAATGGCAAACCTTCACAATATGTAAACACTGAATGCTGAAATACAGCTGTACCTCCATTTTCATGGACTTTGAGTCTGCTGTCTTGGTCATTCATGGACCAGCAAGCCCCATTGGCTAAAAATGGCATGCACGCACAAAGCACATGAACAGTGCCACAAGCACCAGCACATGGCCATTCAAGCCAATGGGGCCTGAATATCTGTGAGTTTTTGTTTTCACGGGGGGGGGGGGCAGAATGGATTCCCCACAAAAATGGAGGGGTGACTGTATACTGAAATATTTTAGAATGCATTTTATTCCTCTTGAGCTGCTAGGAAAGGGTGACAGGAGCACACAACAGTATGCTGGGAAAATGCTGGAACTGACAGAGCAGAGAAAGACCGAGTGCATTCCAGATTTTACTTTGTTATCTCAGCTGCACAGAGCCATGTTACACTGAAATTGAACAATAGCTCCATGTATAAAGCTTCACAATTGTCTTGATCTATGTGAGTAGGGACCCAAATGAGAAATTTTGTTTGTCTCCTTCTGCAGAAGCTGCATTCACAAATGAAGCTTTATCTAAGAATGAGTCTTACATTCAGAATAATTCAGCTGTGTTAAAGCCTTGCCAGCATTTTATACATGCTCCCTCCCATAAAACATAACAGATTATTGCATGGATAAAAAGTCCCAATATAGATTCAGGACTGAAAACCCAAAACCAGATGTTATCGCATGTGCTGGCGACTGGGCAAGTGCTGTCTGGTTGCAACCAGGACCCCAGCTGCACTTATCCTAGGGCTTTTCAAAAATGGTAAGTTCCAATTTTTGTAAAGCCATGGGATAAGTGTGGCTGGGGTCTGGGTTGCATCTGGATTGCACTTGTCTGACTGCTGGCCTGTGTGATAACATCAGGTTTTGGGGTTTGAATCCCAAATCTATATCAGGACTTTTTCCCCATGCAATCATCTCCATAGGGCCTAAGCAGACAGGTGGCCGTGGGCCGCCCCAAGAAGCTGCGGATTGAAGCTGAGGTAGCCGCACTCCTCGGCCCCAATCCTCTCCTTTTCGGGCCTTGGAAGGAATGCTAAAATAGTGCTCCTTCTGCAAGGTGCCAAAGGTGCACTGCAAGAGGCATTGGGTGCACCTTTGACATCTCTTCTGCTGCAGCGTGTGTGGACACTGCAGCGGAAGTATGTCATCGGAGCGCCCGTCATGTGGAGCGATGGGCGCTTTGATGACATGTTCGGGAAGGGGTTGGGGTTCCCTGCGTGAGGCTGCCCCTCCCCTTCCTTGCCTCCAAGGTGGCGCAAAGTGCCGTCTGCTTCCCCCCCATAGTCAGAAGTATACAAATGAGATGAAAACTCCCTACATATAAAAAACAAGCCCATTAGAACATATTCAATCAAATGGTCCAATTTTCTACATCTAGAAAGCATCGGGTTTTTAGCAAAAGATAAGAAGCATTTAAACATGCAAAGCATTGTACCATCTGCAATTTGAAATGATGCTTCACCAAATGCAAACCTTATATGTGTTTATTCTGTTTGGAAATGTGAGAAATAAGGGTGGGATGTCTCATATAGAGTAATCAAATTGTCCAGGCAGAAGCTAAACAACACATCCCATACCTAAGGCACATAACAACAACATATTCTGAATGAGTAGATCAGTTCCTTAGGCTGCATTCCTATGCTCATTTGCCTGGGGGTGGGGGAGGTGTGCCAGAAGCATACCAGGATGCTTCTAGGCGAAGCAGTTTACCTTGTATACAGCCAGTGTGCATAGTGGTTTGAACAATGGACTACAGTTCTGGAGACCAGGGTTCAAATCCCTGCTCAGCCATAAAAACCCACTGGGCAACCTTGAGCAAGTCACACTCTCTCAGTCTCAGAGGAAGGCAAAGGCAAACCCTTCTCAACAAACCTTGTAAAGAAAAACCTGTGGTAGATTCACCTTAGAATCACAATAAGTCAGAATCAACTTGAAGGCACATAACAACAACAATAGCCAGAAATGGGTTCTGGAAGTCTGGACAGCTTCACAAAAATACCCTTGGAGGAGCACATGCAGCCCAGAGCCACTCTTTTGCTCAACTTTGGGGGGAAGCAGACGAGAGCTTCCCAGACACCCTGGGCCGGCGTGCCGTGGGGCCGCAGCCTCCGCACCTTGGCGCACCGGCAGCGTCCCTAGAAGGAGCGCCAAATCAGCGCTCCTTCCTCAAGACAGGGAAAGTGCGCCCTAAAAGCATCAGGCGCACTTTCTCTGTCTTTTCCGACGCAGTGCGTCCAGTCGCTGTGGCGGGAGGTTGTCCCCGGAGTGCCGGCCGTGCGGAGGGCCGGCGGCTCCGAGGACGGCCTCAGGGAGAGGAAGGAGCGCCGCGCGTGTGGCTGCTCCTCCTCTTCCTGGCCTCAGAGATGGCTCAATTAGCCGTCTGCCAAGGCCCTTTGATTTGTAGCATTGTAACAAATTGGGCTATTTGTCCATGTTTAAAATTAGATCCCTTATTAGATTGCTATGATGTTTAAAAGAATACATTCCATGCAAGCATCCTTTGTTTCCTGCCTTGTAATCTCAACCTTTCCCTTTTGACTGGCTTTTACTCTACCAGTAAACAATATTTTTCCATTGCTGATTTAGGTACAATATTTTATTTTTCTGGTTTTGACTCTGTTTGTGTTAGAGGGTTGGCTTTGTTTTGTTTTTTCATGTCCAAGTTTGCTTTTTTATTCTTATTTGATTTTCTGTTTTATACTTCATAGCTCACAAAAAGCTGTTCTGAATGCCCTACAAGCATGCTGAAATAACTTCCTTACCCAATCATGTAAAAGCATGCCAGGAAGACAAGGCTGGGCACAGGGGGCAGTGAGGGAAGGTGAGGTTTGCTCTTCAAAGAAAAGTAGTGAACAAATGCTCTTGGAGTTTCCCCTTCACTGTGCAAGCAATTGAAAGACCACAAAATAGCACAGAACTGTAGGAACGCAACTGGCAGCTACACTTCCTGTCTCCTTATTGCCTGTCTCCTTCCCTTTACAAAGTACAAACTCCAATAGCAACCTGTGTGTGTTTGTGAACATGCATGTCCATTAATGTACCTTCTTTCTTACATTGCTATAAATTTTAGCAGAATTTGGATAAGTTACCTTTTTTTGACAATTCACTGACTCTCCTAGACAGCATGACCACTAATGATGCTAACTGGGGGATTCTGAGAATGGTGGCCAAAGAATTTAAGGTATGAGTTCAGCCAAGGCCTTCGGGTTGTGACAGATGTGTGTAGGCAGCAAATCAACTGACATCCCTAAGGAAAGTAGAAATCTAAACATTGAAAACATTGATTAAATCATGGAATCAAAGAGTTGGAGGAGACCACAAGGACCATCAAATCCAACTCCCTGCCATGTAAGAATCAAAGCACTCCTGACAGGTGACCATCTAGCCTCTGTTTACAAACCTCCCAAGGAGGGGACTCCACTACTCTCCAAGGCAGCAGTGTATTCCACCGTCAAACAGTTTTTACTGTCAGGAAGTTCTTCCTAATGTTGAGGTGGAATCTCTTTTACTGTAGTTGGAATCCATTGCTCCAGGTC